AAACCTTTTTCTGAAAAAGTTTTCTGTCTCAAAGTTTTCATTTTTTACTGTAAACCATTCATAAGGCTTTTATCAATTGTTACACTCCTAAAACTCCCCAGTTGTATCCTACCAAAGGTGGAGAAATAATATATAGCTTCTCACCGTATAAAATACTATAAACAATATATAGTGAGAAACCAGTTATTAAATGGATCTAGTTCAGCTGCTCCCAAGCCACTCATCAGGGAAAAAAATCATATTTTCCAAATACGTTTTTAAACCAGGGTTTTTTTTCCCCCTCACCTCTTTTTAGTATAGCAGATTTCATTACTGCGTGGCAGGATGATTCATCCATTTCTGGTCCAGAAATTCCTAGATTTAATTCTTACACCTGGAACGATGCTCAGGAGCTAGGTTGTCATAAGCGCACAGAAGGGACATCCCGACCCAGTCATCTCTTGCGTACCCCATGGAAAGTACCTAAAAAAGTACCTACCTTACTGGAGGGGGCCCTAAAGTAATTTTTGTCCCTCCCCTCCTGTCAGCTGCTGACCTACAGGGTGTGGGGAAGGCCGGAGGACCAGTGCCTTGGTGTGCACTGGAGATACCTGGGGACACGAGGGACTGTCCCCTACCGGTGGCTCAGCCCCGTGGCAGGGGAGCGGGAAGGTGAAGGCAGGGAGGATCCTGACTCATGATCTAGAGCATGGGGGTGACCGAGATGGGTCCTACTATGGACGACAGGCTTACAGCCTCCAATTCTGGCTGTGTTTGCCAAGGGCAAAGGGTAGTTATCTTACGCAAGCTGTTTAGTCTTCTACTTGTCTATAGTGTACTGGCCCTATCTTTTGATTCCTTGGGAGGTTTCTCTTCATCAGCAGGGCTTTCAGCTCATTTCTTTGAAGCCTGTTTTCTAAAGCATTAAAAATGTGCTTTGCAACAGTTCAAAGACCATCTCCTTTGCTTTCAACTGTTCCATATTGTGCTATAGCTTCAAACTATGCAATGAATAACTTCACACTGAAATTTCTACATTAAATACTCTATTGAGTAAAGTGCAGGTTTTAAGTTCTAAAACATTAAAACAAAGAAACAAAATTCATAATGATGTCTATGTCTATTACCTGGGAATGCCACAAGTTAGGAAGATGAGATCTGCCACTTCTGAGTCTGTTAGCTCCCTTCAATTCCCTTGCCTGCTGTCATGCCCAGAGCACAAATCTCAGAGGAAAGAGTCAAAACCCCGTTGTAAAGAGATCTCATCCTGTTATCTACCACCTAAAAACTAGTCTGAGCTCTCAAGCCTATGATTTAGCATCCCCAAAGTGTGTAATATTGAAAAGCAAGTTTTGCCCTTTCCTCATTCATTCTTTCCCAAAGTAGGGTGGTGCGGGAGTGCAAACCAATGACACTGACTGACGAAAGAGTTAACATCGCTGGCAATCCGGTAGAGGAAAACCAGTGGAGAGGCATAGCTGGTTATCTGGAGCAGATAACTTCAAAGCAGCCTGAGCAGTGACTGATAATGAAGTAACAGTGATAAGAAACATGCTTCCTCACGTGCTTTCTCACTGCAGCAATCTGGAGGCATTGCAGCTGAACATCGCCCTTCTGGCAGCGTCCCTGCACATCTGTAGCATCCATTGAGAAGAAGTAAACAACATCAGTCAGCTGGAAAGAGTGCTTTCCTCAACCTCCCTGACCCCCTGCAGCAAATTTGTCCCAAGCTCAAAAGAGAAAAAATGCTGGTGTGTATTTTCCTAGCATCTTGGAGTTGTCTGCATCTGTATTCATTGTTATTTAATATGTTAGTCTGTTATGCTTAGTATGTTTGGCTTAATATCACCGGTTAATGTTCTGCTGACTGAAAAATAAAGTAGCATGATAAATTCTCTGAAACTAGCTTATCTGAGGAGGAGGGACAGAAAGATTCAGAAAAAGGGGAAGCGATGGAGGACAGCGTGTATTCAGTCCTCTTTTCAAAAGCTTCTTCCGCAAAATGAGAATTGTTGGAGAATGCCTCCCTCCCTCCACAGATCTCTTCCTTTCTTGAACCAAACTACAGGCTGCAGCAACAAGGCAGCTAATAATAAACTCTTCAGCTGAACTCTAGGAAAGCAGTTTGGTCAAGACTTTGCCTGCCAAGTGCTGCCCAACACATGTTCCCAGCTGCCAGCAGTGACTCACCACAAGCCATGTTTTTTATGAACCAGCCGTGCTTTAGCCATCTCCCCCTCAGAGCACGTTTTGCTCCAGACAAGACCTCCCACTTCCAAACGCTGAAGTCAAAGGCACTTGAGTCATGGTCCTCCTACCATGTCTCATGTCAACGGGGCATACAGGGACTACTCCAGTCACAATATATTGACACAACTGCTCTTACACCATGGCTCCTGAAACAAAACACCCACTCCTGCTGTTATCGCTGGGATTTCTACAGCGCCGGGATTTCTACAGCGCCAGCCAGCAGGCAGGACAGGACTCCTTTCAAAATGACCTTTTATCAAGGGTTTGTATAACAAAACTTCGTTCTTGCCTTGGGCTTCCCCCATAATGCCTTCTCTTACCAGTGAGGACACAGGGCAAAGAAGGAACACCAGCTGGGACAGCAGGCATAACATTTCCTACTGGTCAGGCAGGAGCTTGAACTACTCGGCTGCATTTCGGCCCCAAGAGCAACCTTTGGTGCTTCACTGGAAATGCTGACCCAGCTGGCCAGTGAATTTGGAGTTTTTAAAAGACGTGCATGTCACCTTCCTGGACAGATGAGACTGGTGCCAGGTGAAGCAGCCAGCGCTGCTGAAGGCACGACTCCCACTCCCTCCAGAGGTTGCTCAGAGGCTGCTTGGAAATGCAGCAGGGACTGTAGAAAAAGGAACGCACCGAGTTGGGTTTTCTGAGGGAGGGGAAATAACTCCTTTAGGGGCCACAAAAGCATGAGCACTTGCAGGCAAACAGCATGCATGCTGGTGCAGGGAACATATGTAAACCAGGTCAGCCTAGCTCCTCCCTGTGCTGCCCCAAAGATGAGGAAGGGGGTATGGGAGGAAGTTTGGGCTCAAAAATGGTGTGGACAAAGAAGGCTTCTTGGATGAGGACACTACTGAATTACACAACTCTCACCAGTGCCAATGCTATGGCTTCATGGCCCCATTCCCCCTTTTGATGAGGCTCTTGTAAAGCAAGGAAGGGTTTGGGATGATTTGGAGTTTAACTCTCAAGTACTGCAGACATCTGGGACACCCCCCTGACCACAGCGATGTTGTTTTCATGAAGGAGAAGGGGGTTATGGTTGTTTCCTAAGGGTGGAACTACCCTGTCTCCTGCTTTTGTGGTGAAATCTCCTCCTCCTGCCACCGCCAGACTGCTGGCCCTCTCCTCCCTCCCTGCCACCCCACCAAGTGCAACAGCACAAGCATTTCTGGAAATGCTCAGATAAACGTTACACTTCTAAGGGGAGAAATAACTCACATCGGTAGCACCACATTACCCAGGAGAGAGAAAGAAAGAAATGAAAGCAAGTTAACACGCAAAAATCCCCTCATGTCACAACAGTGCACTTACTATTGGGATAGTAAGGATAGCGGGGTACCCGCTCCTTGCTAAAACCTTTCGCAGTTCACTGCAAGAGCATGCTGACCAGCTAGGTAGTGGGCAACATGGAGGGAAGCTATTTTTATAGGTGTTAATGAATCCTAATATTTTTTACTCAGCTGGAGGTGACAGAAATGAACAGTTAACATTTCTTCCCATTTCCCAAGATTTTTTTTCTTTTTTTGCTATTCCAGGGCCTAATCCAGAAAAAAAAAAACAGTAGGAAAAAACCCTACGTGCAGCCTTATGGCAGGACTTTCCAAGCCACAGATGCTGGCTCTGTGGTTGGCTGACCTATCCAAAATAAAGCTCAACAGCAGGGAGCAGTGGAGTAGTTCAGGGGGTAGAAGAGGTCATGCGAATGTGATCCCCACCTCCCAAACGCTGCATCTCCTCATGCTGCCTCCCCCTGCTCCTTTTGGGGTGGAGGGAATTGTTGATTTACTTTTTATTTTTTATTTTCAGCCTGCCTTTCCTATCTGTTTGCCAAGTGGGGTTGTTGAAAGTGACTCTTGTTGCAGCCACTTTCCCAGGAGAGAAAAAACAAGGTGAACTTTTATCCTGATGGCTTACAGTTGAAAAAGCAGCTAGCAGCTTGGACAATGAACCCCTTTGGCTGCTCCAAGACAGAGTTGTGGGAGCTCAGAGGCCACCGTGTTACCTCCCTGTGTCTGGAGGCACAGGAGTCAGCCTGCCCCAGGTGAAGCTGTTGGCTGCAGAGGCTGAAACGCTTCCCCGAGGGAAAGAAAGCACAAGAGCCTTGAAAAGAGGAGCCTCGAAGGCTGCTGCCCCCTGCGCAGAGATGCGTGGCACCGCCTTCTTCACACGAGAAGGCCATTTTCAGTGAACAAACATTGAAAAAAGGAAAGGAAGTGGAAAAAAGGAAAGAAAGTGACCAAGTGTTTTAATCATTTTTGACATCAGAATACATTCATATCATATACTTTTACTTCTTTCTTGAGAGGAGCGCACAGCATATGTACTGGCTCAGCTGGCAGTACAACTTCTGTGAGTCTACAGGAGGTCCCACACCACCATTCTTGGGAATACCTACAAACCCCGCTGCACATCAGTCTGAGGACCGAAGGAAAGCCCAGCTGGGCAGAGGACATGTAAGAGGCATGGACCCTTTTTTACAGCCAGCACATTCATTTCTGTTGAGGTATGGGCTTCATTTTCATAATGTTAACAATCAAATAATGAAACCAACCACTTCCAGGGCTATTTCTGAAGCATTATGTTTGCCAAGAAAATAAAACAAGTCTAAAAATCACACCTTCCTCTGGGCAGATATTAGAGTCAGGTGGATAACGGGACTGTACCTGTATGTTTTGATGCTGCCAGCAAGGGAGGTTTTCATAGCAAGTGTTTGACTTACCCTAAGCACTATGCAATAGCGAGCTGAAAGACCTGCTGCCACTTACCAAACCTCTTGTAGCCAAAGGACTGCACCTCCTCCTCCTCTGCAAAATCGTCTGGAGAAAGAAAGAAAGACACAGCAACAGATTACTACTGCCACTGGAAAAAGGTGAGAAGAAGTTTTTACAGGTGCACATTTATAAATTAATGTACTTGAAAGTTTAACTGATTTGTAAGGCATGTTACTGATCTTCCCCTCCGTTGCTCATATCCCACCTCTGTCCCCGGGTAGAACAGGCAGTTCAGAACCTTTCCCCCAAACCAGTATCACCAGCAGAAATCCAGACTACAAATGGTTTATCACCTGGCAGCTATCCTGGAGCCTGCTTGGCCACCTAAATATAGACCAGAGCAGACATGTCCCTCGTCACGATGATGGCCATAGTTGTCACCAGCGTGCTGAATGGGCAGGCTCGCCCGGACCACGGCACTCGCTCCAGCCTGCTGCCTGCGCTGTCCAGGCCGTCAGGCTTAAGTTATACGTGCATCAGCTGGGCTGTTTGCACAAAGTGGTACACATAGCTATGCTGAGTAACAAGAGAGGAGTCAGAGGGGACAGCTGTCCGTCCATCCACCACCTCCCATGGGCACTAGCTTGGCCTGAAGAGGCAAGATCTGATAGAAAAATGGGAAACAGAACTGATAAACTCAAACAGATGAGAAAAATAAAAACCATTTAAGCCCTTTTGTTCTCATCTTCACCAGCTAGCAAGCGGTAAAATGCTAATAATCACAATTCTATTTTGTCAGAAGCTTAATTTGTCTCTACTTCCTTCCAGCAGCAAAGGAAAAGGCTGGCATCAGCAGAAGAAATACACCCACAACTTCTTTGAAAAAAAAAAAGGATATGTTTGTGTTTGTGCGTTCAGCCTCTTTCTACCAACGCAACCCCTCTTTCTGCTGAGCTGGGGAAGACGAGAGCCCTGCCTTATCACCAGCACTAGCCTCTGTACCAGGTGACCAACTGCCAGGGAGGGCAGCACAGCCTGAGCTGCTTATCTCCCGCTTCCTTATTTCCTGGGGGAAGCAGAGTAGACCCATTCCCCCCCCCACAAGCACCATTTCATGTGGGGAGAAGGCTCTGCGGGGGCTCTTTTTAAACAGGACCTAGGACACGGCTTCCCAAGTGGCAGCCGACGGTTTGCAGCCCACCGCTGCGCTGGGGAACCACACCACCTTTGCCGCGTTTCTGAGCAAAAGCGTGCAGGCAAGCCTGCCTCCGTGCTGCAAAAAATGCCACCGGGGACTGATGGCAATCCCCGCTCTCCGAAACCCGGGTACTCCTGGGCTTTTGTTTGTATCGCAGCGGAGGCGAGGCAGACTCAGCACCCCGGGGAGCTTCAGCGGCTGCTCGCCACCTTGTGCCACCCTTCCAGCACGGGATGCCGAGGAAGCTCACTCACTTGCAACCTCTCCATCCAGACCTTTCTCTGACATGAGGGGAGAAGGAAACAGAAGCTCAAAGGCCAGCCAAGGAATTCACCAGAAGGGAACATTGAATGAGCGGTGGTGGAAAAGCAGGCTCAAAGCAGATAAACAGACGTGATGGAGCGAGAGGTCTGTGCTCGGTTAGACCTTTTTTGTCCACAGACTTCCTGCACATGAACAGGCTGCTCCACTTCATGAGACTGGGCTAACTGGTGCCGCAGGTAACTCGGGCCACAACAGAGCCCTGGGGGGATGAATTCAAAGGTGAAGTAAAGATATAGTCCTCATCGGGGCTCAACAAAGCCTAAAGCATTTGAGTGTACGTCCAGCAACAAATGTGACCCGCACCTCCTTCCGACCTGCAAGGTGCCATGCGCTGAAGTCTGAGGGGGACGTTGCCTGAAGCGGCAAAGGAGTCTGTGAAATGTATCAGTTTGCAGAACGTCACCCTTTACTCACACAGCACTTTTGATAAAACAGCTCAAAACTCATATTTTTCACCAGATAACACATATTTTGCTCACTGCCAGCGGCACTCCTGTCCGTATCTTAAGCTAGACCCCCAATTCAGAGGTGCATTTAAGAAATGGAGGAACCAGTGGACACTCCTTAGACAAAACAAACACATCCTGGTTTTGAAGGCAGAAAGAATCCTTTAAAAAAACAAACCCAACAAACACTCATAATTGTACCAAATGTTATCTGAAGACAAGGTCACCCAACAAAACATGACAAATACTAATAAACCATAAACAGTCAACAACCAAGCTTCTCATCCCAGCAGTGAACTACTCAGAAAAAATCTTCCCCTCTCGCACAAAAGATAAAAAGCTGCACAAAAAAAGGTATCAGCTCCAGAGCCCTTAGCTTCCTGCCCTCTCCTGCTATCCGGCCGTAACACAATCGCCTCCTTTGTTTCTCAGGAGCATAACCTGGCTTATCCGATCCATATCTGATGTGTGCAGCCAGGCTGTGTTTAAATCCTGCGGCTTCACCCTACACCACATCTCCAAGTCTTTCCTCCTGGGCTGCCAGCCTCTTACAACCAAGCTTCTCATCCCAGCAGTGAACTACTCAGAAAAAATCTTCCCCTCTCGCACAAAAGATAAAAAGCTGCACAAAAAAAGGTATCAGCTCCAGAGCCCTTAGCTTCCTGCCCTCTCCTGCTATCCGGCCGTAACACAATCGCCTCCTTTGTTTCCTCAGGAGCAAACCTGGCTTATCCGATCCATATCTGATGTGTGCAGCCAGGCTGTGTTTAAATCCTGCGGCTTCACCCTACACCACATCTCCAAGACCTTCCTCCTGGGCTGCCAGCCTCTTCCCTAGCCGTTTGGTGCTTCACGCTTAGCCCAACAGCATTGCCCTCTGGCCACGCATTTATAATCATATTTTTGTTTCTCTTGATTTTTTTAATATTTGCAACATATGTATATGTTTTATATAAATATATTGTATACATATTGTATATCTTTATATACACATTTATATGCTTTTAAAATATATAGATATACTTTTTAATATGTGCAACACTGCATGCTGTGCTTGCTAGGGAGGAATTTTTTTTTTTAAGCTTCTAATACTTTGTAATTATTCATTAATCTCCTAATTTTGAAAAGCGCTTGTGGCATTTGAAACAAAGAAATGGAGATGGGCAAGGACAGTTTTGCCAACAGGTGACCTGGCTCCCTGCTCACACTATAACCTGAAACATCAGATGAAACCTTTTTTAATCCCTGTGAGTTGATCTAGCAACAAGCAGCAATGCATTTTAGGGGAAGTCTATCAAAATTATTTAACAGACTAAGCTCCGAGGCCTTTCAGTCACAAGTGCCACTAAGTACTTTGCTCAAATTGTGTGCAAATATAATATTTTACAATATTAACTGTAATGTAACAAGTTTAAGGAAAATAAAGATGGAAGGAAGAAATTAATAAAACAAGGTTAGACTAAATGTTCAGAAATGAACTGCACTGCATCCTTTGGAAATAGAGACTAGGATGGGTTGACAGTCCTACTTCAAAAGAAGTCCGTGTTTGAAATATTAAAAATGAAGTTGACAAGCCTATAAATTTAAGTCCTGAGGCAAAGCCATGTGCCTCAGCCTGCTCCCCCCATGCCTTTCGGGCAGTATTGCGCTCACTGGAGGTGGCAGAAACTTGGCCCTCAGCTCCCTGCTACAAGTTTCAGTGCTGCAAATATTAAAGTTTTGTCACAAGTTTTACAAAAATCTCAAAGTTTCATGATATCTTTGAATCAAGGAAACAGGAGAGAACCTAAGTTTTCATTGAAAAGGGAACAGCTTTTCTAGAGAAAACTATGAAAATGTGATCTGTGATGAATTACAGAGGTTAAGAAAATACACACCAAGTAGGAAAGCAAATAGTAAGAAAACCTCCAGCATGTTTTTGTGCCTTATGCTTTTAAAGGCAGTATCAGAAATCAGAGTGGAAGAAATTCAGGAGTTTTGAGCACTGGTGGCTGATAGTACAAAAGGAAATCGTGCGTTTTTACACCAGCGGTGCCCATACACTTCAGTGGGGCTGCAACTGGTGTAAGAGGGTTTTGTTTGACATCTTGAAAGCCATAAGTTAGAAATATTTTACTTTAGTTTCAATCCAACCCTTCTCAGTTACAAAGAGGACTGGAATGAATGCAGTATTTCCGTTACATACATATACGTTTATATATAGGCAAGGCTTATTTTCCTGGGTGAAAAATACGAACAGCATACTTCTCCTTGAAGGAGACAATAAAGCAGAATCCATTGTTATGTCCCAGCTGGAAGAATTAACTCTTTAGTGCTGGAAAGACCAGCCATAATTTAGTTATAAACTGGTCTACCGAGCTCTCAGCTGTGAGCCGAAAGACAGGGAATCTAGAATAAGAAAGACGAAGAAACATGAAAAGCTAGTTAAAATGTGATTTCTTATTCCACTGACTTCTACTGAGCTCTGGCAGAAGGAAGGTCCATAAAAAAAGGTGAACTTTGGGCAGAACAGAAACACATGTGAGCAACCAATTGTATTTAACCGTGTAGGGGAAGGACCACCGGAGATCTCCTGTTTCATCAGGTTTACAAGAGACTCCTTGGAGGCTGCAACAGATTGTCACTCAGAGCTTACAGCAAACCACTAAAAATGAGTGGCTAGCTGTAGCTGAGCAGCAGTACATCAAATGTTTTAGGGAGTCAGTACAAAGCAAGAGCTCTGGTCCAAAAAAAAAAAAGGTTTTGAGATATTTTGGCAATATCCACACCCCACCGAGTACCAATGCCAAATTCTGCTTGCCTTCCAGTTACAAATCATTACTGCAACACCTCTAATAAATACAGTTGTAGAGTTAAATAAGTTACAGTACAATGCTTCAAGGGAGTGGAAATGATAAAAAGGCAGTTCAACTGGGGATTAACACAGCGAACAGAGGGAATTTATTTAGTCTAAAACAAATTAGACTCTCATTTGATTAATTTGCTAGAGGCAAAGCAAAAATCTGTGGAGTAGAACTGTGTAATTTCTAGTTCTTGTTCTTAAATCTTAAATAAATTAATCATGGACCACTTATGAGTCACTCTGAGGTCAAGTAGGCAAGAGCTGGCCTGGAGCCAAAAAGGATGCCAAATC